TAATAATAATAATAATAATAATAATAAGATAAAAATATATGTAAATATGATTTTGATAAAGTTTGATGAGAAAAATACATCTGAAAGAAATATTTATGTACCTGCCGCTTTCGACCAAAATAGTCTCCGGTCCCAGTCCCATGAGGGACAAGTGGTACGCCACAGCACCACCCATAACTCCACCCCCGCATATAACAACCCGTGCTTCCTTGGGAAGTGCACATTCCGAATCCTCCGACGCCACTTTCGAGGCCGCTTCTTCCGTTTTGTAATTGCGAAAGAGAGCTTTCCTTCCCTGCACCGCGCATCTGTTGTACAACAGTTTAGACTGTTTCCACATTTTAATCGGATAAGATTCTAAATATACGCCTCTCTATTAATTTACGTTATATCCTATTATTTTCTTCAAATTGTGAAAAATGCAATAAATGCGGTTTTTGCGCAGCCAAGCATCTTTTGGTCTTTGAGCGGCAATAATTTTTTCTTTGTAAAGAATGTTTCCAACTCGTAGAGTCTCGTTTATTATGTCGCACACTTTTACATTTAGACTTCGTCTCTTCGTGTTATATTATTTTTGCTGTTTTTGCAACAAATTGATGTATTACGATAAAAATAATATAACAAGCAACAGCAAAATAGGTTATGGTTATTGTTGACAAGTTGCCACCTGCATCAGCTGCATCTTGCACTTTCTACACTTAAAGGTTAAAGGAGCACTTTGCACACACACTGCGCGATTAGAGCTGAAAAGCAAAGTTTATTATGTGGACTGAGGAGAAACAAAATGCGAAAACATATATACGTGCGCGTATATATGTTGTTGATATCCGCCTGTTAATATATACGATATAATATTTCTATCGCAACGCGGCGCGGCGTGTAGCATTCAAATGAGCCGCGAATTTTGATAAGTCAACGCGCAACGTGCGAGACCCAGCTGTCACTGCGCAAGTGTGCGCCAAATGGTATGTATGTGTGTGTACACTCATTGCGTTCGTGTTCATGCACGAGCTGCACGTACGAGTCATCGAGGAAATAATCGCATCGCAGTGTAGTGCGTACATACACGGCCGTGTACAAATTGTTTATTTCACGTGTCACGCTCATTTATACACTAAATTTAGGTAAAAGTTTGCTATTTGATTTCATCTCAATTATATTATAACATTACTTGATGGCGGTATGTATAGCTGTTTTTAACTACTATACGTGATTTTTTTTCTTATTTACCAATATTTACAGAAGAACGCTTTTATTATTGCATTTTGTATAATTTTCTTGGTTGCAAAAATTAAAAATTCAAATCGCGCTCTATAAAGTACATCCGCATATGTATGTACACGATTGCAGTTTTGTGTGGCCGTGATTACCTTAACTCTTGTAACGGAATAAAATTATTAATATTCCTATCTAGACAGTGGCGCTATTTTGAAGTAATTATCGATGTTGTTTAATGCACAAGGATGCTTATACGTGCTATATTTATAGAGGAAATCAATATCTTTAATTTTCACACATACATATACATCCAGTAAAGCTTATAAGGTTTCTTATGTCATAAGGTGTAAGCTTTCTTTTTCAATGTGTGTGTGTGTGTGTGTGTGTGATAATATAAATATAATTTTATTTGTAGTCTTTACAGAAAAGAAAATGAGAAACGGTAGCAGATTGTTAAAAGTTCTCCTACAAGCTTCAGAGAAGGCAGCAAACATTGCCAGGACTTGCCGACAAAAGGAAGCTCTTTTTCAGTTGTTAGTGCAAGAAAAATCTTTAGAAGAGAAAAATCCTCGTTTCTTCCAGGATTTTAAAACGTTAGCCGACGTTCTCATTCAGGAAACTATCAGACATGACATAGAAATTGAAGTGAGTAAAAAGGAATCTTAAATGTAGAAATATATAAAACACTAGTGTAAAAAAGAACTCAACTTTTTCTAATTTATCAAACTTTACAAATTTGTCATAAACAGTTTCCAGAGTTAGCCAAATTAGTGAAAGGTGAAGAAACCAATGTATTCAGCAATGCCTTGGGAGAATCTATTATCGTTGAAGTCTGTTCATGCAGCAAAGAAACGACAAAGCTACTGACAAAAGTTATGAGCAACGATGCTGTAGCAGCAGAATTGCTTGCCGCCGAGGTCCATAAAGATGTTCAGCTTTCAGACGTGCCAATCACATTAGACTTCCCCAATGATTTTGACATCAATGTGGATGATCTTGGTATTTGGATAGATCCAATTGGTAAGTATATGAGAGCGTATAGCAAGAATAATTTAAAATTACCCATATTTAATTGATATTTAGTAAATTTACATTAATTCAAGGCAAAACTGAAAAAAAAAATTTTATATATATATATATATATATATATATAAATCGGACACTATTATGGTAAAATTATGTCTTTCTTGTTACTAAGAATGGTAATTGGCCTGTAAACTGAAACGCAACGCTTGTAAGAATTTCTGTTTGTTTTGTAGTTTGATAATGCATGCCTGTGGAGCAATTCGTGGAACTTTTGTAGATTCAACAGCAGATTACATTAGTGCGACGGAGACAGTGGATGAGCAGACCGGTTTATACTTGAGTGGATTACGTTGTGTCACTGTCTTAATTGGAGCATACAAGAAAAGTACAGGAGTGCCAGTTTTGGGTGTAGTTAATCAACCTTTTTGCACCAATGTGGACTCGCAGTAAGTATATACATAAAATAAAAACAAACTTTTAATAATTACAAAAATTTTTTTTCTTTTTGGACATTTTTTATATTTTCTAAGTATATATATTCTTTCAGACTGAAAGCAATCTGTTTTTATATTTGACATAAACAACAGTGTATTGTTTTTTATATCGGAAAAATATAAGCTTTATGTTCTCCGCTTCATTACACTTTGTATTGATTGAACAGATGGACGGGAAAATGTTACTGGGGTTTTCTGGGACGTGGTATCGCCAAGTCTTCCATAAGTAACACGTCCAATGTCGATAAAATCATTTTACTCAGCCGCTTCGAGGATGCAGATGTAAAATCAAAGCTATTAAACAGTGGATTCAGATTGGTGGAAGCAACAGGAGCAGGATACAAGATACTGAGCGTCGCTGTTGGGCAAGCGGCTGCCTACATCTTGTCGAAGGGTTCCACCTATAAATGGGACACGTGCGGACCGCAAGCTCTCCTGTCTTCGGTTGGCGGAGGTATCATCGAATTCAAAGAGTTCATCGTGAATCCAGATTCAGACAATCTGAGTGTCAACTATTTACCTATCGGCACAAATTTCTCTAATCGTGTAGGCTTGATAGCATACAGAGATCCTCAAATTCTGGAAACCTTCAAAGGTATTTTAAGTAGATCTCGTTAATATAAGTATAACGAAGATATTATATATTAACACTAAAGCTTGATATTGTACCTTGAAGATTTTCACGATAATTACATTACTATTTATATTTGATTGTATAAATAAAAATTGTATTTCACTCTATAAATTTCATGTGAAAGCTTCTAGACGATGTTTTCATTGAGGCTATTTCTTATGCCTAGTTTGTGATATTATCTGTGAACTTTAATTCAATTGTACAAGATATTTATTATATATATAGGTAATATATCCAGTAATAAACTAATATTATTACATTCGTTGACTTAACAAATGGATTATTTGTTAATTGATGTAGTTCTAATCGTTAATTGTGATACAATAAATGTGGGTCCAAATAGAGAAGTTGTTTAATATAACAAGTATATAGTTTTATTTTTATTTGTACACGATTATTATACAATTTAGAAAACCCGCCCAAAGAAATATATTATTCTTTGTAAAATAAAATAATATTTGTCTTATTATAAATGAAATATGTTTAGATTTCAAGATTTTTTTAAATAAAACTTAGAATATGAATGTATAACCTTATTTTAATTAATATATAATCGCGTGAAATAATTGTAATTATAAACCCAATTTTATGTAGTACATATGCAATACATTATCACATTTTGAATTTGAAAATTAACAAACTGAGAACAAAATTGCATATTCTTAATTCTAATTATAGAATTTTAAATCTAGATTCTTTATAAAAATTTCTGTATAGCTATCAATTATAATATCTATTTAAATAACAAAGAGATGTCTATTTCATTTTAATCTATTAAATATCACTGTCATTTTTTAACATCATTTGTGCTATTTAACTGCGTCAGTTTTCATGCAAATATAAACACAATTGTATCGACTAATTAAACCACCATAAAAAAAATCTCAAAATTTTTTTGCAAATGTTCCAGTATAATTATCTTATGCGTCTTTCCTCAAAATATTTTGTCTTTTCAAATCTTTTAATACCGTTTTCAAATTGGTGATATTTTTTCCTGTTTGTTGTATACTTTTGTTTAAGTTCTTATTTTTATTTTTAATCATTTCTAATTTTTTCTTCAGTACAGCTTCTTTATTATGTATAATGGTACGAAACATACTTGCTTGCTGATTTAATCGTTTTTCCTGTAATATTTTTAAGTCTTCTATTTCCTTCCGTAATCTTTCATTTTCTAACAATAACTGATTATAAATTGAACATCTGAAACCTGCAATATATTATAAATTATTAAATAAATAGTAAGTAATTAGTACATAAACAATCGTTTTCTGTTTTTAAGAAAATGCACGTACATTTTGATACCACTGAAGTAATTTGATTATCATTCTGCTTACTCGTCAATTTTTGTTCTTCAGGACTAGTGCCATTATTTTGATTATCTATAATAAATGCTTTTATTATTTTGTTTACTACTGTGTACTTACTACTAAATATTTTATTATTAATTTTCATAAAATGCAATATTCATAAATTCACATTTAACATTTATTCAGTTGTCTTGTCATTTGTATCTATCTTTCTACAATGTACTTTTTGCTTCTTGTTTCTTGCTTTTTGCTACCCTTGCCTTTTTGCGACGGTTGCAAAGAGGGAAAAAGGCAAGAAGTAAAAAGCACATTGTAGATCCAGCCTGATGTTTATAATTTAATATTGAATATAAAGATTATAATAAATGCTTTATTATGATAAATAAAGAATTTTACTTACATTCTTTGATTTTATGCCCCGTATCTTGCTGGAGCACTTCCAAAATATTTGCATGTACATGTTGCGTTGGAATTACATTAGATTTAAGACGTTTTTCGTTGTGCTCTATACTACTATAAAAATCACTATCTGTAAAGTGCAGACTGCATATTCGTGCATCTGAACATGGAGTCCAATTATTTCGCCCTGTAGCAGCAATCCAATATTTCACAATTTTCTCATTTGAAACTGGAAATCTAAAATATTCATTTAAGAGATTATACAGTAAGTTATGCGAGTAAATTTTATGAATTTGAGATTATAATTCTTGTAAGAGATTGTCTATCTTTTTCGGAAATTCTATAACTTTTAAAAATAAATTACGCAAAATATTATAATTATATAATAAGAAATATTGTACATTTATATATAGAAATGCAAATCAAAACGGACGTTGATCTGATACTGAAAATCATGCAAAAATTGTAAAGTTTTGTTTACTAGGCTAAATTGATTGCACTTGCCTATAAAAGTTTATCACAGAACTTTTCTTCCAATTACTTTTACAATCTTTGATGGAACAAGATACCATCATAAATATAATATTTTCAACAATTTTTGTACGATATATTTCTAATATTTTTTATCAAGGAAACGTTATGTATATAAATAGACATATATGTTTTCTAGGCACGTATAGGAATTGGTCAGGAGCGTCCCACTCGGTTTTGTTTACCAAAGAGAAACTTGAGAGAGGAGGACATGACATGACGGCCTTTTGCATGTAACCTCAAAATGCCCTCGTGCCCGCACTAACACCCCCTGAGGAAATGGATGTAAACTACATAGCAACGATCACTCTTCTGCACCGCGGGTATACAATTTAGTGGTGCGTGTCCGTGCTACATCCACCTTTCGAGTCTCGAGTCTTCTTCAGAGTTCAGGGGGCGTTAGTGCATGAGAGAGACTAGTTTTCATTGGATTATCTCCATTACATTTACACACACAGTACCACACAGTACTCGCTTTGTTCCCGCTGGTATCTATATGTTGGGTTTTATAGGGTTTGAGGTTAGGAGAGACAGTTTCGAACATTTTAATGTACGATTTTCTCGTTAGATAAACAACAGATAACAAATATCTATGATTGGTGTATACTTCAAAATCTACTAATTACATCTATTTTTTAAAGTTTGATTCAATTGTTAGTATTTATTGAATACAACAGCCACTATTCTGTTGATAATTTTCAAGAATTATGGCAGCCGGTCCAATTGCGGAGCGTAACCAAGGTATAAATCTCGATGTTTTAGTTTAAGAAATCTTGAATTTTTATATAATTTTATTCCTATGAAAAGAATATATATAATTGAAAACAAAATTTTTATTACAATTAGTTTAATTATTTGAGGTTAGCCTCAAATATATTTTGTGTCATTGAATTACTTAGAACCTAATTTGTGACATAAATTTGTGACATAAATGTATATTTAAATGCATAAATTAATTTTTGTATTTATTATCTATATCTTTGTTTTGAAAATTTACAGATGCAACAATATACGTTGGAGGTTTGGATGATAAAGTCACGGAATCCCTTATGTGGGAATTATTTGTTCAATCAGGACCTGTTGGTAAGCGCATGTGTTATTCATTTTTATATGTTATATGTGAATTTGACGTACATCTTTAATATTTTTTTAAAATACATATGTTTGATACATATGAAACAAATTCTCAACTAACTCTGTTATCTAAGATTGAAAATGGATATTTGTATGAGTTTCTCAAATTTAAAATACAATATACATATATATGTGTGTAAAATATAATTTCTTTTCAGTTAATGTGCACATGCCAAAAGATAGAGTAACCCAAATGCACCAAGGATACGGTTTTGTTGAATTTATGGGAGAAGAGGATGCAGATTATGCTATTAAAATCATGAATATGATCAAACTTTATGGCAAACCTATTCGCGTAAACAAGGCTAGTGCACATCAAAAGAACTTGGACGTTGGAGCAAATATATTTATAGGAAATCTTGATCCAGAAGTAGATGAAAAATTGTTGTACGATACGTTCAGTGCATTTGGCGTGATTTTGCAAACACCAAAAGTACGTACAATTCATTTTATTACAATCAATCATTGTAATCGGTAATTATTTTCTCTTTGGCTGCCATTGATGTTACACAGCGTAATTTTATATTACAGATAATGAGGGATCCCGAGACAGGTAACTCGAAAGGCTTCGCTTTCATTAATTTTGCTTCTTTCGATGCCTCGGATGCCAGCATCGAGGCGATGAACGGTCAATATCTATGCAATCGGCCGATCTCTGTGTCTTATGCTTTCAAACGCGACGCTAAGGGCGAGAGACACGGCAGTGCCGCCGAAAGACTTTTGGCCGCGCAAAATCCTCTGAGTCAAGCGGACAGACCGCATCAGTTATTCGCGGACGCGCCACCTCTGGCGCCGCCACCGATGCCAAATTCAAACGCGAATGCCCATCAACCCGCCCATCATCCTCAGCATCATGTGATGCATCACGGAATGGTCGTGCCACCGCCGCCGCCGCCGTCAACTCCTGGACCGCCGATGGGTCATCCGCCTCCACCGCCCGTTCCACCACCACCGTCCGGTGGATTCCCACCGGCGAACATCCCTCCGCCTCCTCTTCCCCCGATGTCTATGGCGGCGCATCCTCCTCTACCACCAGGTATGCCACCGCCGTTACCGCCTATGCCCGTGCCGACTTCTCAGGCGCAGTCAGCTGCCTCCAGGATGATGGCACCACCACCGCCACATTGGGCCGTAGGAGCACCGCCGCAGGGACAATTTCCACCGCCTCCGCCGCCATCTGCTGGCGGTGGTCCCCCACAATTCGGGCAGTATCAGCCCGCGCCGCCGAGACCACCTCCAGCTTGGCGACATCCGCCACCGCCACCCGTTTCGCAAGGTGGCCCACCGCCACCACCGCCACCTCAATTCCGACCACCTTTCCCACCAAGAGGACCGCCACCGCCGCCGCCGCCCCACGATGGCAATCAATATTAATATTAATATTTGTCACTTATATTTATGTGTTGTGGACAATGAGAAACAGATACAATTTTATTTTACAATTATCAACAAATATATTATTATCAATCAAGAGATATACGGAGAGATATTCGTAGAAAAATCATCTTTTTCAGTAAAAAAACTGATTTCTTCATTGTTCCTGAATAAACTTGTTCATATTGTAGCAACTACCATAGTAAGAAGTTAGTTAAGTAATTAATTGAGATATTATTAATTAGCCTTAATCAGTTAACTGAACATTAACTCGCAACTGGGCATTAACGGCATGTTAAACGGGGCACAACGTGCCAATTATAACTGCGCGTTTCGCTCCGTCACTCATCGTATCGATCGACTTTGGCGCCTGAATAACGTACATACCGCGTTTGTCTTATCGATTGTTTCGTGTCTGTCTAGTCCAGTCAACGATAACGTTAGTCGAACACTAACTCTACTATCGAATACCCTTTAGGATTACTGAGTTTTGAGCGTGATTTTGTTATGATGTCGAGTCGAGTTTCTAAAACAAATTTGTGTACGATATATCGCATTATCGCGTACATTACAATGTTAATTTAAAGTGAAACGAGGAGGCGTTAACGAGAGAAAGAGAGAGAGAGAGAGAGAGAGAGCAAACTAACTCGCGTGCGTCCCGAAAATAATTGTGATCTTTCTTTTCGTGATTGTTCACGATCGCGACTCATTGATCTGTTGCCGTGCATCCGCCAGCTCGCCGAACACGATTGGAAACGCGAGTCGGACGTTTTGTTGTAGAAACATGAACATTGAATAGTCGTCAATAGACTGATAAATTTTTAATCGTCTTGTATGCCACGGCAGGAAAAACTATGCGAATGTCGCGGGACAGATATGGCACTAGTCTTTTATGAACATAAAAACGGTTTCAAACTTGAAAATAACAACGATAATAACGCGTTTAAACTATACGCATGCACAGCCGAGTATCGTCTGCATGATCTGCATCGCTGCTACAATTTGCAGCGTCGCTCTGTAGTGCAACGGCGAGCACCACGTCATCTCTTGGAAGCCTGGTACTTTGGGCTAGGCATTGTTTTAATTGTTGTTTCTGTCGTTTTCTTGGTGAGCATACGTGTAAGAATGCATCAAACTTGCAAAATTTATCGATAATATCAGACGTATTTTTCAAATAGAAGATTTGAAAAAAATATCTTTAACATTGCAGTCTTTTTATCGGCAAAACGCGAGTCATTATTTTAATTCTTAATTTCTTTATCGTTTGTTATTTTTTTAAGTGCATCGTGCTTAAAAAAAGTGTCTAATTCATTTTGAAACCAAATAAGCGCGGTCCGTATTATACATGAACATAATATATTTAAGGTATTCCATCTGGGCGTAATGCACGTATCAACGATAATAGACGAAACGCTCGGGAATTCAACCAGCCGAGAGCTAATCAAAACCAGATATCTATAAGTATAATTCCCTCAACATTTTCATCGCAGAGAAAGATGCTAGTAATCGGTGCGCAGCCGAGTTTCACGCACATGAGTAAGAGAGCAATGTCTTCCTCATTTCACATTCATTGCTAGTCTTATGACGCACTGTAATTGTATGATCGACACTGAGCAAAATTAAATTAAGGATAAACTTAAAGGTAACCCACTTATAGGCGCGTCAAATGACGCGCGCGTTACGCGTCATAATTTATAACAATTTTTCTTTGTCGCGAAAACAGGTTAATAATTTTTAAATTTGGTCCTCAGGTCCTCACTATAGGGCATGCACTTTTGAATACTGACGATAAATGCAATGACGCTTTTGCAGTTGGATAAATTCAATTGTAAACGCGACAGTGCTAGAAGTCACTATCCAGGCAGAAATGATCGGTCCATAGACCTCGATTCGACGTTTCTAAACATTGATTCGATGTCTATAGACATCGAATCGACGTCTACGGACCGATTATTTGATATACTTAATCTAGTTATTTCTCAAATGACGCGCGACGCGCCTATGAGTATGGGTACCTTAATACACGATCGACGCTGAACAGGCTGTAAAATATAATTTGTCATGCGTAATTAATGGAGATTGTAATGGTCGTTTGTTTGTCAGAACAAATGGTAGACTATAAAGTCATCTTTGTTTTTTTACTGATCAATGGAAATTATATATGTATAATAGCTTAGTACGTGCACGGCTGATTCCTCGCGCATTTCTACATTTTCTACGTGCACTAATATATAAAACGTGGAAAATATTGATTTACATTCCAGCACCAGTCGTTGCGTGACAAAGCGCTGCTTCGTTACAAGATTGGGCTCGAGACAAGGGAGATTTGACGTTCCAATGCTTAGCGCTCTCGGAATTTGTCACGGCATATGCATCTTCCTCTTCTCATCATTTACGCGTATCAATATGCGCGTAGTCATACTGTCGCCTTTTACTTTGCGCTTATTTGTAACAAACGCTAGATTAAAGAGTGAAACAGTAGATATAGTTCGAATATAATATATTATTGTAATACAAAGATCGAAAAATTTCCGATAAATACGAAAACTCAGTTAATATCAATTTTACGAGAGAGATTTAGTATTGTACGTCAAATGTTAAATCTTACCACGTTGTAAAGTAAATGAAATATTCCGAATAGCGATTTATATATCTCAAAAAATAACATTTGACAGTATTTTAATGTTAATGTTAAAATTTATTTTTAACTTTACACGAATATGTATTATACATATAATACACATATTTTCATAAGTAAAAATATAATACATATATATATATATGTATTATATACATATACGTGTACTGCATAGATGAGAATTATAAATTACGTATAAAGAAAACAATATAACGGTATAACGAATGAAAAATAGGATTATTTTAAAACGGCAATTATCACTTCACGATTGCCGTAATTATCTTTTCCATTAGCTTTGACGAAAGTAGCGCGAGGTTTCAACCAGCTTGCTCGCGTCATCGACGACAATCCGCCGATTAAATTCACGCAGGATGTAACGCTGTGTGGCGCGCAGCTCGTATGTATGTACATACATACGTGTGTGAAAGTTATACACAGCGACCTTTCTTGAAGCCATTACGAGAGAATTATAGGCTGCGACCCGCTCTGATGATCGCGTCTCGCGATGATTTTGCGTCGGCTTCAAAAAATTTAAACGATCGATGCCTTTCAAACATTTTATCTTCCGGGCACGGGTAGCGAGCGCGGATCGATGCGCGTGGCGTACGCAACAATCAGACGATAACGCAGTCAGGATAATGTAGCCGCGGTTCTTTTATGCTTTACGCGTACCTGCGTAACACGCGCCGCACGGCCTGCGAACCTGCGGCTTCAAAACTCGTTTTACATGCTTAACGGGCACAATTCTCGTCGACAATTAAGAGGACGTGCTCATGTCTGTGTGAGATTTAAAAAGAAAAAGTGTGCAGATGCTAATTAAAAGGGACAATCCTTCGCGTTCCTCGCGCGAACCTCTGCTTTTCTTCGTTTTTTTCTCATGTAAAGTAAAACAAAGATATCCGTTCGTGTGCTCGAACAAAAGAAACGTATATATGTATTCGTAAAATAAACGCGATAGGGAATACAAATCAATATATAAATATCCGGAGTGAACGCGTAAATAAAAGTGATCGTTCGATCTCCTTTATATTTTTCGCAATTTTTTTGCGTAAGTCTTATACATATTTGACAATCAATATTCCACTGCATTTATAGCAAAATATTGTTACGTACGTTAACTCGAAGCAGTATTATACGCTTTACAATGGCATCGTATTGTCCAATCTGATGGATCTAGCCGAGATAGACTAAAAAAAACTGTCAACTAAATGAATGCTATATACGTTTCAGTAAATAAATTATATACATCGCGCGAACGTGAAAGAAATCCTTATACTCCCGCGTAAATCTTTTTTTATCGTGGACACTCGATTCATTTGTGCAGCAAGAAACGATCGGAAAACAGACTGTGAAGCCTGACGCGACCTCGTTAAACTGTAACCAAGTGTCATTCTGATAACCCAACTCGGCTTTTACCATCTCTCGACAGAGGTCGATAAAGAAATATGCAAAGAGCGAGGGGGGAGACTCTCTGGTTAATGTTGCATGCGCAGGAAGCCAAGCGAGGAATTTAACTCTCGTCTGCTGTACTTGAAAAGCTAATGACTGCGCGCCACGACTGATTGTGAGTCATTGAATGCCGCGGTCAAATGGAAAACCCTGCAGCATGCTCTTTGCGCTCTCGACGAAATCGTTCGTCGCCGGTCAACTCAATTTCCGTCATACGATTTTGTCACGCAATCAACAACCTATATTTACGGTGCAGGCGATATACTATCGAAATAGCAAAGAAATTAAGACTCGAAAAATTCGAATTATGAAGCCTTTATTATTATTCCAATCTGCATTCTTAATTTTACCGAGTTATCAATAAGATTTGTATATCGGTTATGCATATCGTGATTTTTTTCGAGCGTTGATTTTTGAATAAAAATTTTTCAAATTCTTCGAGACTTTTGCCTTCATTGCTGGTTTTTTTTTTTTTTTTTTTTTTTTCCAGATTTAGCTGCATAGCTGCAGCAGTTTTTAGGTATTTTTTAGGTAATTAATTATTCCTAGTTTAAAAAAGTGAAAATTGAGCGTTATATGTATATGTACATATATATGTATATTGCTTTGCTATGTACATATGTATATTGCTCTGCTATATGTACATGTATATAAATAATGTACATATAATTTATTTACAATTAATTGTACTATTTTCGCGCATATAAATGATAGAAATATTTCTCGATGAGAGAGAAAAAGAGAGAGAGAGAGAGAGAGGAGGAGGAGGAGGAAAAGACACGTCTTGGATTTTTCCGCTAACGAGGACTCCGACTCCAGGTCGCCGGCGCCGTCTGGAGGAGAACGTCGTCTCGCCCTTTCGCCATTCGGCGCCGTCAAAGTCTCGTTACGTCCGAATCGTCGTCGGCGCGGAACGGGGGTTGCGTCTCTCGAAATATATAAAAGCGTATGTGGGGAGAGAATTTAGCGTGTTGTTCTTCCAATAAATCGGTCAACTTTAGGAGCGCGGTGACTGTCACTAGTTCGCCACTGTCGCGGAGCGTTGTCTGCGGAAAAAGGCGCCAAAGGCGTCAAGTGAGAATAAATCGCGCTTCGCGACAGCCGGAACGACGAGATTCGTGGCCACGAGTAAATGCCGTCGATGACGGAATTAAAATAGATATACAAGTAAATTGTCGAACCGGCCACGGCGCGAGACGCTCTTTTAGGTGGGAGGCGCGCTAAAATTAGAGGTACCCACGCGAGTAGCCGTCGTGGTACAGCTTCCTCCTTCGAACACATCCATTTCTAAATAGTCCTTTCGACCGATAAGACGATTCGCTCCAGCGATGCTTGAAAATTGCAAGAGAGTCGTAATTATGGCCCGCGATTTTTTTATCAACATTACGGTTGACAAGCGATAAACGCTTTCGGTTCCGCAACTAGATAACGTTTCGGAAAACCTTGGCAAACGGGAAGAGAGAAGAACATGCCCACTTGTCGAGCGATAATTAGTCGATCGTTAGTCGGATACTTTCTCGCGGGATGCATTGTGTCACTGTCGATGCAGAGCCTCGCACAAGTCGAAGGTAAGCGAGTCAGCTTGTCATTGCGGCCACTCTAATTGGCCGCGAATAGAGACGCTCATTAATGACAACCAGAGAAGCACCATTAATTAAATGTTTTTTTCTATATAAGTGCATAACAATAGTTCAATTTTAATTATTCTCATTCCAACAACTCGGTAGTGCAAGTGCATAAAGTATAAAACTATACAATATACTAACAATAAGCTTATACATATAGAAGAGCGAACGCAATGTATTAATTATAATTAACATATTGCTCCAAATTTCTCATAATTTTCTCGTAGAAATCAAGTTTTACTATTAATCTGAAATTGAATTCTAATTTTTTACAAATTATTATTACACCATGCAATAGTTTTAAACTTTTTTCATGTTTCATAACATGTGGCAGGTGATTCTCGTAGAGAATCAATAGTTTTTTTCTCATAGATTACGAATCCGTTAATAAAAAATATTCTGGCAAATCAGTTTTGGAGAGAAACCGTGTAAAAAGTAAAAAAAAGTGTTTTTGGCCATTTTTTGAAGTTTTTAAAAAAATGGGTGAAAATGGGCAAAAAACAATTGTGTGTGTGTGTTTATATATATGTATATAATATACATATGTATGATATGTATATATATAAATTAAACAGAGAAACACAGAAAATAAAAATAAAAATTAGCCCTTTAACATATGTGTGTTAGTTATCTGAAATACATCCACTACATTATTAATGTTAATTAAATAATTAATTAATATGTAATAGAATATCTTATAATTATTTAATATCAATACTTTAATTAATCAAATAGAATTACAATCAAGGATTTTGGCGTTTTCCAAGCAATTAATTTGCATAGAAAAACAATACACCGGATGGTATACGCACATGCTATATAGTTGGTGCTCGCTCTTTAAAAACGTATGCTATAAAAAAATTTTGTCATGTTGCTTATTTGTCTTTATTTTACGATTGTAGCTTAAGGTTCGAGCTTTCATTCAAATTAATTCCAGAGTTTCTATGACGTCCTATTTCTTTAAACAACTTCAAAAATGATCAAAAACGCATTTCTTTTTTACTTTTTGATCCGGTTTTTCCTCAAAAACTTGACGTGCTAGAGCACTTTCAATTACAGTCATTACAGATTTGTAATCTAGAAACCTATCACAATCAAACCTGTCACATGTCATGAAATAAAATCCTTGTATAACGTACGTTATCAATGTATTATCAATTTGTGTGAACTTGCCGAAATTCATAAATTATTGTAAATTATAGATATGCCCGAACTAATTGCATTTGTACCTAACTGAATTTCCTCTGTTTATTACAAAATTATGTTTTATAGGCAGGAAGTGCGTGTGCACGAGCAAAGCTTGTAAAGAAGCTGGTGTAGATACTTGTAGAACGAGATTCTTCTGTTATACCGAACTTATCGTGACAGCGGGACAAGAAATCGGTGAAAGTGCGACTACAAGAGGATGCACGGAGTATGTACATCGCAAATTACGTTTTGATATTTAACAAAATACGCACATAAGTAAATAGCAAAATTTTGTAATATAAGTATTTGAGACATTTTTCTATCAAATCAAATTTTCGAGAAAATTAACAATGTATAATATAATTTTGTCAACGATGACGACGATCTTTTGGAAAAACACATATATATATATATATATATATATATTTCTTTTTACCTTATATCCGTTAAAATGCCAAGAGATAAGCTGTTATGTTTCTTCACGAACAGGATTTAATTTGTCGTCTTGTGTAAGTTTTATCAACACTGTCATATAAATTCAGGAATGTGTCACGCAATAACCTTGACGAGATAATCGAGCGAAAAGGTTTCCGCGATTTTTATTATAAATACCTCATTAATAATACTATCGTGATCATCTTAAAAGTGGCAGTTACGACAAGGATTCGTTCAACAAAATCCGGATATTATGTTAATAGGACTGTCTTCGACGGTATTCGTTTTCTGCGTGTTTTTGCCGTACAATTTGAAATATCACAAAAGTTGAAATTTTTTCCATTTTAATCGATGTAAAATAATGTTAATGTTGTGAAATAGTTGATGGTTCAGCCTATTGTTATGATCTCGATCACATGCTGCAACCCAAAAGATCGCAATACCGCAAAAGTTGTATTATCTATATAGGCTCTCGTGCAATACCTATAGTCTGGTGACATTGTTAGGCATCGCGTAAGCGTCGCTGTTAGCTGTTAGCAACGCGGCGACGGACGCCGGGTTCACGGAACTTTATCAATTGATGTTTGCAATATTACACGCGCAGGGGTGCCACGCCATTGTTATGCGAAACAAAGTCCTGGGTCACGAGGTCACGATCGGTCAACGCCATGGAACTGTCGGCGAGTCCCCGGGTTCTCGTGCCTTGGCCCAGATTGAAATGTTGCAACAGCCATGACTACTGCAACGCTTACGATGACAACGATGACGACGACGACGGCGACGGCGACAACAACGACGACAACGTTGACGACAACGATAACGATGACAACGACGAGAATGCGAGCACGTGGACGCGCGAGAGAAAGGTTCAAATGAATCAAACGCATTCTACGATGGATCGCGAGATGCTGATGGACGAGCTAACGTCAACAAATCGCAATACGATACTAACATTGCAATCTGATCGGAAGTATGACGATCCGACAAAATCGGCCGACCAACTTCTCCGGAGTCGCATCAGAGCGTTGCACATCGCCGCTCTCGTCCTTGCTGTCGCAGCCCTCATATCCGTCCTGGCGTCTTGCTACGTGGTTACAAGGTTCGTATATTTTTTCCTCTATCTATCTATAGAAATTAATTCTTTATTTACACACACACACATACAACAATTGATTTTCAAAAAATCTCATCTCGAAGAGAAATCAATACTGGAGTTATCCCGTTATATTTTTTTTAACTTTTACTTCATAATAAAAAATACTAAACTAAATAAAATGTATATGTTAAAACTTGAAAATAAAATAAAATAAAAGAAAGCTTTTTTATAGCAATTGTGAAACAAATAAATAAAAGTTATCATCGAGATATGTGTATCACTGTACAAAGGGATGATTCGCAATGCCGTGAAGTTTCATGCTGCCTTCAATTAACATTGAATATAATTAACGATCGATGAAGATAAATCTATTCGAAAGCAGCCTTGATAGAGCGCAGAGACCACCCTGTGCAACAGATTATGAGCATCGAGGCCGAGCGCACACATTTATAGTAGCCACCTACACGGCGTAGAACTTGTTTTTCTCATGTGAAACAGCAAATTATTTCGCGATTTCTCGAATAGTTAATCTGCAACATATTTTCTATATATATTCTACATATATCTTTTATCAATATTGTTAATTCACGTATATATCGTGACACACACACACACACACACACACACACACACACACGCGCGCGCGCGCGCGCGCGCGCAGTATTATAAATTATATTTAGTAATTTGCCTCAGGAATTGGCAGGGGGGAGGGGGGGGAAGGGCAGGACGTTCGATACTCCTTCAGTTGATAGCATTCCTGCATTTTAGGCCCGTTCCTTATTATCTATCCAGTTTCCTTTTCTTCGGCTATTCGACCATATACTTCCTCGGGGTAGTTTGTCGCGATACACTAAAAGCCGCCCTCTTATCAGTCTACCTCTCGACGAGGGGCCCCATCTCCAGCTTTCAGTCCTGAAAACCGTAGATAGCATGGCTTGGAGGCTTCTCACAGACCTGCCCTCTAATCTTCGTTCTCCGAATGGTTAAGTGGGTTTTCGAGTTCGGGAATGTCTCGGTTCGACCCACCTCATATACACCTTAGTAAACGCGCGCGTCGTTAGTTTCTTATTCTTTTTATCTTGGAATGGATAGCATCGCACACGTTTGCTCTACGATGCGCCTCCATGATCTCTCGATTTCTTTGCATTTCATACAGTAAAAGTGACCGGAGAACCCTTAGTTATCCCATTCTTGAAAGAACGCTTTATCGCAATCTGTTATTCTATCGTGTAATTTGCATTTCCATACGCATTTATCGTGAAATATATACTGTAGCACTTTTTTCACAAATACATTCAATCCGACAATAAGGATAAAAGATAAATACTCGTTTTTCCCAATATAGAATATGGCAGGATGTTGGCATATTAACATGCGTCTCACACACACACACACACACACACGTTTTTTTTCTATATATTCTGACATTTCTGACATTTAAATGTAATTTTAAACCCATTAAAAATTCGAGGATTACCGTTTTTCAGTCAATAATGACGACTAGCATATAATTCAATATATGTATAATTCAATATATGTATATCGAGTGTCACTAAAAAGTTGTTAAACAATTAATTCCTTTAACCATTTCTTTAACTATCACTAACGATCGTTTCAGTTTCACGCATTTTGTGTTGAAGGATTGTTTTCCATCGCATCGTTCACGGTTTCTAATCCTCATCAGGCATACCCGACTCCTGTAGGGAGTCGGAACAGGATCCGGTTTTAAGTGGACCGGAATCTTTAGCATCGTGCGTAACGAATCGATTTTTGATCGTGATTTATACATAGGAAGCTCGACGAGTTACCTAAGGATACCGTGACGAAATTATTTTGAACCATAATTTAAATACACATATGTTTATTTCTTATCAGATGCACACACACGCACGATATGCGCGCGCGTATATTACAAATCATAAATATACCCATCTATAATTTACGATATAATTACGAAAATAAATTTTATATAATGCTGTGAAAAACGATAAAAATGTAAGTAATAAATATTTTATATTATAGATTCCTTAGAAGTGATCGTTACATAATGGGCACGGTAAACTATTCGTGAATATGATGCCGAAATTTAATAGATATCTACATTGTGATTCGACATCGGGATTTTGTGGTTTTTCCTGCAGCGGAATAAGTTAAGATATATAGGTAAAGTATTGACAGTATGTCTAATAAAACAAAATAAATATAAATTTGGTATATTATATAGAGAGTATAGTAAGAAGAGAGATAAGTGCATTGTTGTGCAATTACACAATGTAATCTTTTATTTCGAATAAGTCTTAAACATGTATTTGTTCGCGCTCGGGGATATAATTCTCGTTTTGATCGTATGCCACTGATCGACTAACGAACGGAAAATATAAATAGAAGCCGGCCGTGCGGGAGATAACTGCTGCCGACAGGCTGGCCGAGTCTGTATTAAAGCGATTTTTTGTTACGCTCGCTGGATAGCTTTCAAGTTCCAGCAGTAGCGCCGGCACGACTGTCGGAGATCACAAGCGATCAAATATCGCGCGCTAATAATATTATCTCAGCGGACACTATTACTGCCCTTAACGAGTCGAAACGATATGTTAAACGATAAACGGTAACATTGATGGATCTTAGGTCAAAATTATAGACAAGGTTGTCAAATTTGTTTTAATTGTCTGTATGACGTATTGTAACATAGATAAGATAGTAAGACGTTACGATATTTGAGATAAAATCATTTGAAAAAGACCTTTTTGTAGAGTTATCTGCGCAAAGGATTTAAACAAGGACTCGCAAAATTTTTGAGATTTTTTAATCGTTACAAATTCTGATTACGTATACGTGTATTTGTTATATTTATGCGAGAACGTACTTGTCTGTCATATTGCCACCCTTAATTATATATTCCACCGAGTAATGAGATTTTATTTATGTAATCTTTATTTAGGAATAACGAAGCGAGGAACGAGGAACGAAACGATCTTTATTTAGGCATCGCGAAGAGAGATCTCAAAGAGCACACTCGTGTCACACACTCGTGATGAACGACTTCGACGAGATGCGCAAGATTCGACGTGTGTGTATTGAACGAAGTTTCTTGAAGAGCAAATCAACATAGTCGGACGTAGCTGGCATCCTTTGTTTTATATTGTATGACTAAACGGCGGACCATGTAGCTGAAATTCCCGCTGCCATCGAGCGAGAGCGAGCCCCTCGATCGAGGGGCGGCTAGCGTGCCAGGTGCCCCGCGGGCCCCCCCGGCTTCGGCCCGGCTCCGACTCCGGCTGTTTCAACGTAATTAGTCATCCTCCAGGTTGCCAGACACACACGTACACACATCTTGCCGATCAAACGAGTAGCGAGGCAGAGGAATAACGTATATGCGCGCCGAAAGTTGTACCAAAACGCTAGGTCATCGTGAGAAAGAGGTTCCACTTAACATAAATAAACGCACTGACGAAGAAAGAGACGTCGTGCGGCATCGCGAGTACAGTGAATCCTCTATAAGTTTGGCGTGATCGCGCCAAGTTTTTCAATGTATGTTAGATACATAAGTCAGAAAAAGTACATGAATCGTATTTATGTGTGTGTGTGTGTGTGTGAGCGCGTGCGTCTCGAATATATTTCATCAGTGATCACTATATATGTATAATTGAATAACAGGTATATAAAAAAGTAAGATTTACATAAATTTAGAATTTAACGAAAGTCTCATAAGCTAGGATGTAAGGCATATTCGTATTGTAATATATAAATTGCACGTAAACAATTAATAATCGGATTATACAAGAGACAATCGTATATATCGTAGTGAAAAAGGTCGTACCCGACGTCGATCGACAGGAAAAAGCAGGCAAAGACATGACACGTCACGTCGCGTCGCGTCGCACCACTTTGGCGTCAGACAGAGCTCAGGCGCCAACGTCCCCTTCCGTGCCACCGAGTTCTCACCGACTTTCCGCCGACAAATCGCACGCATACTATTTCGCGCTACTTACACACGCACGGTATGCTCAGCCACGCCGTCAGCCGATCGGATGCTACACGTTCCTGTGTCTGTCGTTTACATATCGTAATATAACTAATGTAAGTAGCGCATCGCGCTACGTACTCCTTGAAAAGAGTAATTCTGACATTGTGCTAACCCGCGCGATTATCTCGGTAATATACATAAAATTTTACACACAACGAATTTACTTTCTAGAGTTTTGAAAGCTCTCGATTTCTAAAAACAATCTCGAATCGATTTGTAGACATTGCTTTACGTAACGTGCTTTCAGTACAAAGCGCAAAGAAATATATCTGTTTACAAAATCGTAGGTTTGCAAGAGTGGAAAGATAAATTAGCTTGCGACCACGTGTGTTTGTGTGGCAAGTCGAGAGCAAGTCGAGCAACGTGTAACGAGTGCATGGCACCGATCGCACGCGGTGGTAGCAGCGGTCGGAACGACACACGGAGTGGCGGCTTTCTTTTAAAAACTATTGGAGAAGCGAGCGCTCTCTCCGGGATGATTCGGATGTCGGGATTGCCGCCGGGTGCCTGCTAGTCGCCGGTGCCGGCGGGTGCACGCTGAGGCGAGGCGAGGCGAGGCGAGGCACGACTGGCTCCGAGGTGGCCGGCGCCGCGGCGCGGCGCAGGCGCGACACAGCCGAGCCGCCAAAAGCGAGCGGAGCGAGACAGTCGACAGTCAGCCGCTGGATATCATCGGGGTCGGAGTAGTGTGTCGTGCGTCGACCGCGTCGACGCTCCACTCTGGTGTCTTCGCGCGCGTGTTTCGCCAATCGTTTCTTCTTTTCCGACACGGGTCGCGTGATGCGCACCACGATAATCGGTCGAGCGAAATCAATCCGTCGGTCGTGACGACTCAACAACGATGATTTTGATGCTCTAATTCGAGAGGGGAAACACATGCCCGATTTTTGGAAATCCATCATTCCGACGACGAACTCGCCGTGGACGCCGAGTCAACATCGATCGGCGCCAGAAAAAGAGAGAAGGATTCACCTGCACGTGGACAGTTATCCCGAGATCAAACCAATTTATTACGGAGTTGGTCCCGTTTCGGGATGTTGTCGCGCGACGTACTGACTATCGCGATGATGACGACAAGTCTCGTCGTCGCTGTCACCAGCGGTGCGCCCACAAATTTAGATCCGGAGGATTATGAGGTGCTCGCCGACAACGAGGCACGATCCATCGATAAAGGTAATGCCGTCTATCTTGCTAACCTAAGTGAACGAAGCGAATGTTATGTAGAATGTTGTGTTTACAATCTGTACAAGTGTATATGCGACGTGCATATTCGCTAAAATGAAAACACGGAAGCGATTAATGGGCGGCGTTGTGCCAGATCCGCGTGCAAGTTATATCTTAATCAAATTTATCCGTAATCTTCTTTGTGCGATATTGTCATTTTTTTCGGCATTTTAAACATATTACATGCCGCTTCTTCACTTCATACGTAATGCTTTTTTGTACTACACAGAAATCTGAAAGCAAATTTGCCGATAGTAGAAAGAGACGTTAAATTTTAACACGATCGGTTGGATCCCCTTTATCCGATCGCTCGTTTTGCTCTTTTCAAAGAGATGTCAATCTTCTTTCATTATTTTAAATGCGGATGTAAATGATAATACTCTGATATTATACGTTACTAGCAAAGGTGCGATATATTGCGTGCGAGTGATCGCAGGAAACACGGCGCGTGCACGTGCTCGGCATGCTTGTTTTACTAATTCTCGTAAATTTAGTAAAGAAAGAAAGAACAGTGGCCGTCGCGGTTGCTCAATTATTCATCTATATAAGAATAGCGATATAAAAGTAAAAACCAGAAAATAACGAAACCTTTTATGATTTAATTTAACAAATTAATGATGTAACAAAGTATTAATTGATTTCAACTCTGCAATGGCGCTGATATTTTCGATACATTTGTTTTAAGATAAAGAAACAATAGTGCGCGCGCGCGTTTATCGATCTATATAGGCACAAGATAAATTTTATATCGACTTGTCAAAGTCGTTTCTATTCCGAACGAAAACGCAAGTTTTTTTTTTTAAGTTAGATCGCTTGATCGTAATTCGACGTGTATGTCGAAGATGTGAATGCCTAAAAATACTCGGCGCCAAAGGATTTGTCGAAACAATTTAGTTGCAAACAAACAAAGGCTATTACGCGATGATGTAAACTATCTTGAAAGGGGGTCGGTCGTTCGTGGAATGCTCGACGCGAGCAATAAAATCGTTTACTTGAATCGAGCGCGAGCGAGCGGGGCGAACGTTCGGCACGGCGACGCGACGCGACGTACGAATGATTCACGATCGATCGATAGATTACATCCGCGAAAGAGGCGCTTACTTACTATCATCAGCGGACTGGCGCGCTCCTTTTTTTCCCCTCTTGTTTTGAGCTTTTCTCAACGAACCACATTTAATAATTCTCAATTAGCAGTATTGGCACGTACGCGCGTCACACACACACACAAATTGCGTACGTTTTTTTTAGATACATAATTGAGTGACCGCATAGCGGTCGTTAATAACGCATGGTTTAACATCATTTTCCCCATAATTTACTTAGGTGCGATTCCATCTCTCGTATTCGTATTCACGAGTATACATATCTGTAGAAATAATCAGACGAAGATGGCTCGAGATGCAAGTTAATAATTTTGAAATTTTGTCGCTCACACGATAGCGAGACTAGAAAGACGATAAAAACATACGACGGGCGCCAGCTAGGCGCACGGATAGTGGAGTATGTGGTACGTTATACCTATATGCATGATAAATACCGACACGCTTGTTGCACGCGTAGCGTACATTGTTGCATCACGTCCGCGTGTCGTATACTCATTTCCTCTTTGGATAATCCTAAAAACTAATTGTAAATGGACTTGAACCTGCCTGCGACAGATGAGGGACTCGCTTTTTTTTTTACGAAATCTATATAAATTTACATCAATCGCGCGTTATTTATTTTTTATATTAGAATAAAATTCAGTCGTTGTATTTTAAGAAAATCTTCGTAAGAAGTAAACGCGTTCGGTTTTAGCTGGTATAGTAGTTGAGCGCGTCGAGAGATGATCGCCGATTCCACGGAACTATTTCATTCGCCGGTTATATGGCTTCTCATTTGCATCTTCGACAAAGCTGCAATCCTCGATATCGCGAGGTCGATAATCCGAATGCGTTCGGCGAATCACTCATTAAACCATCCTCGCGTATAATGGCAATTACCGTCCGATAAGAAGACGCGTCTGTTAGAGCGTGCAGCGCGAAATCAAGTGTATGTCGATTGGCTAACTAACAATAAGTCAAATTGTGATTTAGTCTTGTAGATTTCGTAATACGAATTGCACGCTGGGAGTTACGTTCACTCGACAGCATCGACGGAGACGATTATCTTTCTGCGATTTACAGTTTTACGTTTCACATGCCGCATATAACGCAATCACGACAAATTGGAATTTAATGTAAAATTTTTAATTTATGACCAAGGAATTGCTAAGCTTCGATCGACAATCGTATATCGACATCTATTTTTTATTTTCAATCGCGAATTTCAGAATGCGAGAGCGAAAGTTTATGAAAATATGAAAATATGAAAAAAATGTCTTAAACGAAATTTCCTATACTAATATAATTCATCAAGATAATCATCGAGCGTGTCATTATGTTTAAAGCCAAATGTGCAAAGGATAAATTAGGCATTGTCTTTTAGAATCTTAGATGATTATTTGAAAATTTCTTTTAATTGTAACTTCGATCTATACTGTTATTCATTGTATCGCTGTCGTTGCGTCGTCGTCGTCGCCATCGCCGCGCGTCAAGCCACCGTTGTCTCTTTCGAGTGGCGAGTGGCGCGACACGACGAAAAATGCGAGCTCATCGACGCCAACGACGAGAGTGGAGCGTATGCACGCATACGTCCGGTTTATCACTCGCACACGCACGAGCCGGTTCAGCCTGCACACATGCTCTTCATAAGTACCACGGGCACCACGGCGCGACGCGGCTTGGCGCGGCGCGACTACCGCGTACAGCTGGCGCACGCACGCATGCACGCACGCACACAGCCTCGACTCGGTGGCGCCTGTCGGCCACACGGATGTGCATGCGTGCGTGACGAGTTTGTACCTCTTTGGCTATATGTACGTCCCGTACATAAATACTTGGCGTAGCCGTGTACACATATGTGGTGTCCCACGAAGCGATTGCTATGCCCGGATTCGTAACGATGGGTCTATCCTGCCTTCGCGGAATTTGCTCAAGGATGCGAGAGAAGATCCGATACGTTTTCAAATATTTTTTTCAAATAGTCTCGTTAATTTCGGTATACGAGTCAGCAATAGTCTTTCTTTCGCTAGAATTATATATATATATATATATTAAATATATGAGCTAGACGCGATGAGACGCGTTTTGTGCATTTTTATCGTTACACTCTCGTGCGCTGCATCTTTACCGCGTTGCTTCTGCACTTTGCGAATAATGACATACGGAAATCAGTGCCGCAGGTATAAATGTCGCGAATGCCTCTGTATATATAACGTATGACGCGTATAAAAACGTATCACATACATGCAGTGATTTATAGATACTTGTTGTCAATTATCAGATTTTTCATCGCATATCAACAAAATGCGCAAAATGCGCTACGCGCCGAATAAGCTTGTTCTTTTCTTTTTATAAAATGGAACACGCGCACACATATCTTGAGGGAGAAAGACCGGTTTGAATGTGTACATATATACCCGCGTTGATATATATCGATTTTGATTGACGTTGCACACATTCCACCATTAATTAAATAACTTACTGTTAATTAAGATGGCGGAATTACGACGGACATAAAAGCATCGCTCACCGACTAAAAGTCACCGCGTGAAGTAATAGCCGCTTTTGCCTCGCCGCGCCGCGCCCGCGCCGTTGCAAATCGCATCTAGATTGAGTAAAAACAACTCGACGAGCGACACGTACAGTTAACGACTCGTTCGATGGTCGCTGATGCAAGTTTTTTCTTTTTATTAGAGTTTTTTATTCGATATATAGGGAGGTGATATGATGCGCCAACGCTGCTACGACCGGGCGCGGGGCGGGCGTTCATCGAAAATTTCTTTAGTTTCAGTGTTTCAAAAATACGATAAAATTTATACATCTGATTTATTGCTTTGCCGCGACTTTGCCTGTGTAGGCGAATGACAGGTGTTCCATAAGATGCTAATTCATACGATCCCGATCTCGTTCACCACTTGTTTACGATTTAATGCTTCGTTTACGGTTGTAAACGTAGCATTATTTCAAGGTATTGGAATCATATAGAGCCTTACAGACTATTTCGTACTATCACGTTCGTAAAATTAGCTTGGAAAAAATTTCATTTTTTTTTGTCCCGCGTTCGTTCGTTTTAAAATTTACGAAAAGAGCCAAGGATTTTTCAAGAATAGGGGTTTACTCTGTAAACACGCGATATAACAGCTGTGAAACATGGGCCCAGAGGAGCATGTTTATTTGCCGGTAGTAGCTAGATTTAAAACAAATAGACGGATTTTCTTCCGATGTCATGCAGTGTGAATCAGAGCTACCATGCGACTGAGAATATATGCGATTGCAACAAGAGAAAGAAATTTCTCTTGTACATTAATTTGGAAAATTAAAATAAAAATTTGGGATTATCGAAAAATTCGTATTCGCGCTCGTCTTTCAATTTTTAGTTTACTCTTCGCCCGAGGAACATATCGACGCACGCGGAGATAATAGAGAAGTTTATTATCAAATATATTTATATATAATATTGCATACGTAATTTATTCCAGCTTAACATTCATGGCGATGCTTTCGATCCTTCGCTTTTGTTAATACGTATAAAAATGATACGCGCGCGCTTCCCGCGATGCCGCATACGATCATGTAAACGAGATCACGCTATAAATATAACCCCGCTCTTTAGAACACGTATTCCGTTTTATTGAACTTGAAAATTTCACACTTGGAATATATATAGGACAATACTACATGCCTACAGCATATCGTTTGTTAAACTCGCACTGTCAATCGAACTGAAATAAATCCAAGAAAAGTCGCATTAATATCGTATTTCGATGACAGTCGTCTCGATGACATTTTTCATGGTAAATATGGTACATGCGCAAACTCAATTGTAAACTCTTCTTTTCGTCCGTTTGGCGCCTAAAGCACATTCCT